TAGAATAGAATAGAATAGAATAGAATAGAATAGAATAGAATAGAATAGAATAGAATAGAATAGAATGTACTTTGGCGGTCTTTTAGTCCAACTGCCTGCTCAAGCAGGAGATCCTATACCATTTCAGACAAGTAGCTTTTCTAGTCTCTTCTTAAAATCCTTCAGTGATAGAGTGCCCACTCTATTTCTGAAGGCAAGCTAATTCCATTGATTAATTATCCTTACTATTAGGAAGTTTCTCCTTAATTCCAGGCTGCTTCTCTCTTTGATTAGTTTCCAACCATTCCAACTTGACAACCTGCCTTTTCAATCTCTAAAACAAAGGAAGGAAATCTGTGGAGAATTTTACCAGAGAGAATATTTGTTTGGTTCCATTTAGGTACTTGTTGACGTGCCATGCACAAATGATCGAAAGTCAGTCTTAGAAGAAGATAACAATATATTCACATATGCAAGAAAAGGGGAACGTCAGATGTTGCCAATGCTCCAGCTGCAACTGCTCGTGTGAGTGATTTTGATGTGTTGTCTACAGATGATTTAAGAAAAAAAATGTTCCAGACAACTAAAAAATGTTTTGTTCCTTTCTTGCTCTGGGCCATGGAATTCCAAAGATGATGTTGCAATTTCCAGAAGTAAAGTCTACCAACAGGGAACAATTTGTGGTGTTCCAGTTCCAAGATATATCAGACAGCTTAAGTTCAGAGGATTTACTTTCATAAACCAATGAATTGCTCCCATAATAGAACAGAAGTTGAAATTAAAGTTATTGGAATAAATATAAATAACCCCAGATATGCTCATCGTATTACATTAGTGGCTAGAAGTGAGGAAGACTAAATCATGTGTTTAAGATGAAAGATTGGAGTAAAAAACCCAGTCTGATGCTTAGTGGCTTTTTGTTAAACCAACATTCTAAAATTGTGTCAACTGCTAGTGTCAACCCATTGCCAATAGGCAGAGAAGTAGTAACACACATTATTTTCCTAGGGCCCAAACTGCAGAGTGATGGTTTTTGTAACCATAAGGAAAAAAAGATGTCTGCTACTTAGGAGAAATACTATGGCAAATCGAGATATATATTTATAGAGACCCTGTCAACCATGATGCATGTTATCAAGGCTAGTCTTCCCAATCATAAGATAACTGTGAAAGTTAGACAAAGCTATGCACCAAGACAAATTCCTTGTGTGTCCAATCACGCTTGGCCAATAAAGAATGCTATTCTATTCTAGACTGTCATAAATGCAGAACAAAAAAAAATCTATGTTTTTGAATTGTGGTACTGGAGAAGGTTGTTCGGAATACCTTCCTTGGCAAGAGGAATCAATAGTAGATAAAGTAAAATCAGATTATTAATTACAATAGAATAACTAATAATTAAGCTATACATTAAGTATTTGAGATATATAATGTAAAGCAAGGTCATTGAAGAAGACACCAAGCTTCAAAAAAATCAAAGGCAGTAAACAGTCCTGGTGATTTATTATTTATTGACAAAGAGCTTGAAGTGACCAAACAACTAAAATATTACCCATTATGAATCTGTAATTTCAGCTACATTAATATACTTATACCCAGGATTCTCCAATCTTGAACTAAATTCTTCGAAAATTCCACAATACTCAATTATGCTTTTTCATTATATGATGGCTAGGGGAAAACAATACAGCTGGCAAGGATTTTATTCTCTTTGGTTGGAGGCCAGATTTGAGTTTTGAGAAAATGAGGTGGGGCTGGCATAAGGTTTCTCTTTCACAAAATTGTTGAACACTGGTGTACCTAGTCACAAATCAAAAAAGGCAAGTGTGACAGATAGGATTCCATGGGAAATGTCTCGGTCTATCGGTGCCTATAAGCGTTATTTCTAGGAACTCAGTAAATTAATAACAAATTAACAAGGCAGAGAAAGAATTGATTCTGTGTATATCTAGGGCCCAAAATATAGTGTGCATTCTTGCGCTGGCATATGCTGTATGCTTCACTCTGTTGAATAAGTGCCTCAATACAGTTGAAAGAAATCCCCCACCATAATTTCTTTTTTGCTTTTTTCCAGAGCTGGAGTACTTGCTGCTAAGCCAGGAGGAGAAGTGGTGTATTCCACATGCACTCTGTCTGAGCTCCAAAATGAGTATGTGGTTGAGAGAGCAGTGGAGTTACTAAATATCCAGTACAGCATCAGTGTGAGAGTAGAGGACCTGAGCCATTTTCGGAGACTGTTCCAGAACACATTTTCTTTCTATTCAAATTGTAGGCTTGGAGAACTAATCCTGCCCCACCTCACAGCTAACTTTGGACCCATGTATTTTTGCAAATTGCACAGAATGAATTAGATTGAAGAAAGAAAGTGAAAAAGGAAGAAAGGGATTTCCCATGTATTATTAAACATCTCTTCAAAAGATGTAATTGAATTTACAAAAAGCCACAGATATTTTGTTTTGTAAGTTACAGGCCTGGGCCCTTTACATGTCATTCAATGCCTGTTCTTTGCAAGGAAGTACTTATCTGCATGGGTAGTCTTACCAGAATGAAATTCCGTTTACATGCTATAATCATCATCATCATCATCATCATCATCATCATTTACATACATCTAATTATATATTTACATACATCTAATTATATAAATAATTGTGTGCTTGTATCACAGTCTAATGTATACTGTACACATTAGAGAAAATCCAGCTGAGCAGTATCCAGATGTATGAGGGCTTCAAATTTCAGAAAACCTTATACCATCATATCTTATCTTTGAATTTGGGAGTTGTGAACCCCTGGCCCTGTGGAGATTGCCAGGCTGGGAACGGTTATATTAGAGACATTTTTGCCAGCTGTATTAGAATGACAGAATAACAGAGTTGGAAGGGACTTTAGAGGTCTTCTGATCCAATTCTCTGCTTAAGCAGGAGATCCTACACCATTCTGAACAAATGACTGTCCAATCTTTAATAAAAGTTCTAGTGATGGAGCACTTACAACTTTTGGAGGCAAGCTCTTCTTCCACTGTTCTCGCTGAGAGAAAGTTTCTCCTTAATTTTATGATGGATGTCTCTGATAAGCTTTCAGCTGCTAAATGTCTATGGAGATGCTCAATCATCCAGGTCATGGTTGTCCCAAAGGTGTTTTTTTTTTGAAGAGGCAACTGTATTTCCTTGTGTTTTGTTTTTTTATAAATTTGAAAATGTTTTGCTTCTCATTCAAGAACCTTCTTCATTTCCTGAATTGAACAGAAAGGAATTGAACTCCAGAACTGAAGAAGCTTCTTGGATGAAAAGTGAAATGTTTTCAAAGATTTTTTAAAAAACCCAAGAAAGTCCAGTTGAGTTTTGAAAAGCACAATTGGGACCTTCATCTATTATTTCTTGTTTTGCCCTCAGGTGCTTTAGAGAATAGGTTGAACCCCTCTTCTCTTTGACATGCCCCTCAAATATTGGAAGACTGCTATCATGTCAGCCTTAGTCCTTCTCTTCATTAGACTAGACATTCCCAGTTCTCGCAATCATTCATTGTATGGTTTAGTTTCCAGTCCCCTAATCATCTGTGTTGCTCTTCTCTACACTCTCAAAAGTCTCAACATCTTTTTTGTATTGTGGTGACCAAAGCTGGATGCAGTATTCCAAGTATGGTCTTATCAGTGAAGTATAAAGCAATACTAACACTTAATGTGAATTTGATGTTACCCCTCTGTTGATGCAGCTTAGGATTGCATTGGCTTTTTTGGCAGCTTTAGCACATTGCTGGTTCATACTTAAACGATGGTCCCCTAGAACTCCTAGATCCATCTTAACTGTTACTGTTGTTGAGGCAGGTGCCACCTATTCGATACCCGTGAATTTGGTTTTTCTTGCCTAAGTGAAGCCTTATCTTTCTTACTACTGAACTTCATTTTGTTGGATGTCTGGGGAATCAGGTTTTCATAAACAATAGTATGATACTGTAATGACCCAGAGTATATCAGAAATATAACAAAACCCAAAACATAACTAAAAGTCCTTTAATGCCTTCGACTTGGCTTCACTGTTTAATTGTTCACAGTGGGGGATTAAACTATTTTCAAAATAACATTTCAAAGGAAAGAAACACAGTTCAAATTCAAAGAGCCGATAATGAAGCAAAAACCAAAAACAAACTGCATTGAATAAAGTTCCACAACAGACCAGGATAGGTAATTGCCCATTTCAGGAAGATAACCAAGGACAGTCTGTTGGAAGAACGCCAACCAAGATAAACCTTCTTTAGAAATAAAACACTAATTGTCTCCAGCTGTTTGCATGCAGGTCCAAACTCTTATGCAGATCTCACACCTGCAACCCATGAAGAGGATCATGGCCCTCTCCTCCCGAGTAGACCACGTTTTACCCTGATCCTCTCCTCCCTGCGTGCCCTAGGATGGATAGGGGATGGGCCTGGGTCCTTCTCTGACTGCTCAGGGTCAGTCTCCATCAGGGGCATGACAGATACATTTCACATTTAAAATGTTAAACATAAATGTCAAACACAATATGAAAAATAAATATTGGGAAAGTGATCAATTATCTGCATCAAGTTGGTGCCAACATATTCTCCAGAAGGTTCCCAATCTAGCCTTTCTAGTTCTTCCAGTGGTGCACCCATTGTCTCTATAATCAAATGTACAGTGTATGAAAGGTAGGCCTCAATTTACAACCATTCATTTAGTGGCTGTTCCAAGTTACAACAGCACTGAAAAAAACAACTTATGACCATTTTTCTCACTTATGACTGTTGCAGAATCCCTGTAGTCACAAAATTCGGACGCTTGGCAACTGGCACGTGTTTATAATGGTTGCAGTGTCCTGGGGTCATGTGGTCACCGTTTGCGACGTCTGACAAGCAAAATCAATGGAAAAGTCACTCAACAACCATGTTGGTAACAACAGCAGTGATTCACTTAACTGACCAGAAAGGTTGTAAAATGGGGGCAAAACTCATTCAACGGCCTTGCTCAGCACTGGAAATTTTGGGCACGGTTTTGGTCACAAGTCAATGACTTGCCTATACTACCGTTTTCTAAATATCCATTGATTAAACTAATTATTGCTTCTCAGAGCCAATCATTTGAATTTGATATGGGCTTAATTTATAATTTGCATGTCTGGCTGGAAGGATTTTTTGTTTATTTATTTGTATTTTTGCTGCCACCTACTGCTCGGCAGGATTTGGCGGTCCAAATAAAGTAATCTTATCAATTTTCCTTACTATCAACAAGCATAGAGGCCAAGTGGATAATTTTAAGGAAGAATGCTATGTTTCTGGAGTCTTCCCAACAAACATCTGGTTTGTTGATGTACAGTGATTGTATGGTTACAATTCCATGAAACAGAAACAACGTTTCAGATCTGGAAACCTAAGGAAAATAAAATGTATCTTTGCTGTCATTGATAATCAAGTTGTCTTGGCTTCTGGTATAGTGAAACTCATACTTTATGGAAAGTTTGCTGAAAAATCCTGGTTTAATGTGGAATCTAATCCTTAACTTGGGATGTGGAGGCTTCTGAATAAGAATGTCTAGCATGGATATTTTGTATATTCCAAGGAAATATAAAAAGCTTTATTTTGCTTTGATTTATGCATCATAAAGAGTGATTAAAGGAAAGCAATGGCTTAGCAAAATGTATAAATAACATCACAATTGGCTATCAATGGTCAGCACTGAGAAGTAGTACTCTTCAAGGTTTCAGATAATATTTCGAGCTGTACCTGGATATACTGAAGAGAGAATATGAAACCCCTCCTAAGGTACTTTTTTTTTAAAAAAATCCATTTTGGTAAAGACATAGCCTTTGTTAAAGCACTTTATTGTATTATTTTATATATATTGAATATACAAATCAATCCCAACCTCCTATTGGGTTCAAGAAGATCAACTGGTAAATAAGTATAGGTTAATGCCAGTTTAACCTACAGTGGATGATCATGGTTTATTAAGGAATTTTGCTCCTTGGTGAATAAATCATCATAAAGCTTCTTGAAGGTGCCCTGCTGTATTGCTAATCACTAGGATTGTGCAGGGCTTCAGATAAAAAAAGTAAAAACATATTACAGGGCATGTGGAAGTCAGGCATAGGCCTTGTCTGCCACTTCCTAAATTTGATTTTTTTTAAAAAAAAATGTGATTGCATGATGGCTGTGGAAGTCAGTCACATACATCTGGAAATGCTCTATTTGGCTTAAAAGAGTGGAAAATGTGCTACATTCACAGTGCCCCCAAATAATATTTTTATGCTTTTGAATTGGAAGACTTGCACAGCCTTACTGTTCATATATGTACTCTTTTCCAATTGCTTTCTTGTCTGTATAAATATATGCTTGTTCCACACTAATGTTTTAGAGCCCATTCAGAAGTTGTGAAGAGCCTGTCTGTTTTCTAAGGACCAATAGAACTTATATGAAAGTCTGTGCTATTCTATGCTATGCAGGTTTAATTCTACAGTTAAATACCGATGTACTTTCTTTCTGGCTCCCTAGCTATATTTGTCAATTTAGGAAACTGGTAAGATTAGGCTACTGCAGGAAAGGCGATTTCTTCATAATTGAACTGAAAGAACTTTTGAGCAGGCTGTGTGATCTGCCATTTGATATAAAAAGTGCAATGTACTCTAGAGCCTTGGATCATATAATTGGGGCCAAATTCCTATAGTTATCAAATAACCCATAATAAAGTTAAGATATCATCAGATACAGACACTACTAATTCTGCTGCCTCCCGGTGATTGATTTTATTTTTTCAGCCTCACATTCAACATTAATAAGCATAGCATTAAAAAAAAACACGTCTCACTTCGGTGCAGAAACGTTGCCCTCAATTGTGACGGCACGTCGAGGACTATCCGTGTTGCATAAACCATGTTTTTCGCCATAAGAACAGACGTGACTAACATGTTAATTTCCGAGGGGAAAAGGCGTCGGGACAAAATGAAAAAGAAAAAGGAAAACACACACACGCCGCTTCGGGTGGAATCCCAAACGAAACTCCTGTGAAGAAGCCTTGGCATCTTTTGCTGAGGGGCGGAGTCCGAATACAAAGCCCTTCGCTTCACATCTTTGCCCAGAGCCGAGTGGGAGGAGTCGGAGTACAAAACGCGACCGCAGAGCCGCGGACTTCCACCCGCTCTCCTTCTCGGCGATGGCCATGAGCGTAACTGCTCTTGTTTCTGCTTTCCTGGGTTGCTCGGTAGCGACTCTCCTGCTGCTGAAATGGCGGAGGAGGCGGCAGGTCCAGGACAAGATAGCGAAGGCCAGGAGCCGGCGGGAGGGCGCCTTCCAGCAAATGGAAAGAGCCGTTCAGCGCTTCCAAGAACAGGTTAGGGAAGAAGCCGTGGTGTGTGTGTGTGTGTGTGTGTGTGTGTGTGTGTGTGTGTGTGTGT